GGACGATGTCTGCTAACCCTCGCTGGAGAGCTAGCCACTGTCGCTCTGCGCCGCGCGTGAAGCGATGTGCGACGTAGAGACGTACGTAGTCTCGCTTGTTGGTATCAGTGACGACCTCCGCGGCGCCGCCCGCCCGCAGCTCCACACTCCGCACGGCGCCGAACGACGCACATTCTACAGAGAATGTGGTGTCTATAACGCCTGCTATGCTGTTTTCACTGAAAATTAACAAAAATAAATCACTATTAAATTCATTCAAGCATCGATGACTGTGAAAATATTGCAAGACATTAATACGATTAATTACGATACATCCATGGGCATACAATAAGATAAACGAAAATCATGGTTTTATTTTTTTTAACGTAACTTTTGAAATGTAGAATTTAATATGTTTGCAAGGAGTAAATCGTAAAAATTGTGGTTTACAATAGTCTACATAGTAGCTATGGACTTCATGAAACCAGAACAGAGTGTACAAGATAATGTTGTTACTTTCTTCTATGTATTCTACATTTCACCACATTAGTTTATTTTTCTATTTTTACCAATATTAACGCTATTATTACTATTATTGCTATAAAATTGGTCAAGACTGCAGGAGTATCTTGGATGCGAGAGGCACAGGACGAGACACACAATTATCTTGTCGATTTTTCGGGATTCCTATGTCTAGCAGTCGGTTTCATACATTTATAAAAGACTTATCAGGATATCCGAATGTGGTTTACGTCATCGAATACCGTTATTCGAACCCACAACAGCTAGATCATCTAATAGCGTGTCCTATATGATTGGTATTATAAACTGACAGCATCCAGGAGAGCGAGCGGTGCAGCTCGGGGTCGACGTCGCGGATGTCGCGCAGCGTGATGGCGCGGCCGAGCAGCTGCTTGTAGAAGGGCGCGGTGAAGGCCGCGTCCAGCTGGTGCCCGTGGAACAGCGCCACGCCCAGGATGCGACCCGCGAAGTGGAAGTACGACAGGTGCTCCGGATTCACCTGGATATAATACAACTAATTATATGCTCAAGGGGAAATTGACATATAAATGATATCTTTATTAGCATCATTTTACGTTTTTAGATTACCTAATGTATTGTTATGAAACATAACGTAGCAAAACTTTCTAAAACCATTTATGTATGTATATCATAAAGGATATTCACATACCATCTCTCGTATTATCTTACTAATACTCTTATATATTTATTTATTTAATTCTTTGTGCAAAAATTTTATCATTGGAAACTAAGCTAAGCTACAACAAAATTAATTAATTAAATTAATGCGAAAGTTAAGATAGATGTGTGTCTTTGAAAATGTCATTGAAACGACTATGAACGATATTAACTAGGTTAACTAAGTTTCTTTCATCCCATGAAAGTTGCGAACTAGAAAGCTGAGTAAGTGAAAACTTATCTTTCATAGTAGTTCAGAGTCAATTTAGAAATTACCCCTGAGTCAGGATTGATCTGCAGCGCATATCTATCATCGCCAGCGCTGGCATACTGGAACAGTCCGTAGTGCGGGTTGAAGAGCTCGCGGCCGAGCAGGTGCAGCCACTCGCGCGCCACGCCGCCGTAGTCCAGCCCCTCCTCGCCGCGGAACTTCACCAGCAGCCGCTTGCGCAGCTCCTTGCCGCGCAACTTCATCACTAGCCGGTAAGATTCTTCTAGCACTTCGTTACGCGATACCTGGAATACAAATTATTGCCATATTAAATAGGGTTTTAATTACTTTTTATTACATTACCTCCTTCCGTGCATCAAGATCACTCTATAGAAATTGTAATAACGTCAGTTGTTGCTTGCGACTTCATTCGCGTGATATTAAAATAGAAGAAAAAACACTATGTTACTCACAGATAAATTACCTTTTAATGGTGAAAGTTAATGGTGAAAGACTTTTTAAGATCGGCCCAGTAGTTTTCAAGGTATTTCAACAAATACAAAAATACAAATTTTTCCTCTCTTTAATATTGGTATAGATTTATAAAATCTTAATTGCAAATATCAAAACCAAAAGCATAAATGTTAACAAAGGTTTTTGCCATTGACTACAGTTACCATGGCAATGTTCCTCCTTTAATAGAAATATAGAACGATATATCAGTACTTCTATCCTGCAGTGTCCAGTCTGCGGCTGCAGCGCCTGCAGCTCG